CCATTGACGGATTCTAACGAGGCTTTTTCGAAAAGTGGGAACAGATCCAATCCCGATAAGATTGATCGGCAGGTTTCTCTTTATCTTTAGGACGGATCGTGGGGATAATTAATCGGTTATCGGCTCGCTCGAGTTGTTCATTTGGCTCGTACGTGCTTCAGCCGCGCGTATAATAACCGTGGTACGCATAATCTCCTCGATACTCGCGACGACGACGACGTTCAATTACAAAACGAGTGTCACCTTGTTAGCCGATGCAAACTCATTAATTTTGTAGGGCGTGGATCGGGAACTTTAGCCGTGGCCTCTTTGAGAAATCTCGAGGCTCATTAAATGCTCGAGCATGTGCGCCCCCGAGACTTCTTCTTGTCCCCTTTCAAACTTTTAAAGTAATTATTTCACCCCTCGATCGAGTTTCCTACTCCGTAGAAAGTTCCGTCTACCGTGCATTTGTTTATTCCTCGCATCGATCCGGCCGAGGTTTCTGTCGAGCCCGCGACGATCCTAATTTCAAGCTGTTCGGATCGTCGTATGAATCTTTCGAGACGTCGGAATGAAACGTCGACGCTCGCAGCCGACGACGTCGAATCCGGTCGAGCGGGAGAACGATCGGTTGCGGTAGCAATCGAATAACGTTATTTGCGATTAGAAGAGGGTGGAATCGACGGAAGAGACCGAGGGTGAATTCTGAAATCCGGGCTGCTCGCGGGAGGGTAAATGTGCTTATTCTGCTTGAAAGGGGCGACGCGTGGAAATAAATCTAACGGGGTCGAAGCGACGATAATATCTAGCTACCCCGAAGGCATCGCTCCATTAACCGATATCGCTCGTTTCTTCGTTGTTCTCACCGATGAACTTATTCCTCGCGAAAATCCACACCAGATTCCGCCGTTCCGACGCCTCCGACCCCTTTCACAATTTATTTCACGGTCCGATTCTAATCCAACGATTTGTCACGTTATGTCGCTCTGAAAACTGTAATTCGTTCCTCTGATAGAATTTTAAATGCGCACCGCGATCGCTCTTCGGAGGATCGAATTGAAACGCTCTTCCAGATTATTTACGTTCCGAATGTCTCACGTTTTATTAATCGAATGCCAGGGACATTAATTAGTGTCTCCCTTATCTCGGTTATGAAAATTACCTCACGCACGCGGTGGCGACACGAATTTAGTAGCCCGGGCACGCGGCCACGTATAATTTTCACCGGTACTAGTATCAGTCGTTGGTATCGTAACAATTCAGTATTTTTTATACCCGAGTAGCTGCAAGCTGTCGCCGGGCATAATTCTATGAAACTCGGTCGGAATTCGTAATAATGTTGCACACGGGATCCCAGCCGCGATAAAGCCTCGCGTTAGCGATGCCGCTAGCTGATGACCTTTGAACCATCGGTCCATCTCCGTTCTTTCGATAAATTAAACGCGAAGGTTACCCACCGAGACCGGGATTATTAATAAAATTTGGCGCGGTATCACGCGGAAATTCTAACGAGCGCTGTATTTAACGGGACGCGAACGCGGGGCTCGTTCGTCATCCGTTATCTCTCATCGACGTCTCCGCGCGCGCTCTCCACGGAAATGCGTCTCGCTCCGAGCGAACCTGGTAGAGTTCGATTCGATAGGGAGAGAAAGAAAAAAAAAACCCGAGGCGTGTTCCCGACGGGAGAGAGACCCTTTCGTCCCCCTTTTTCCCGGGCCAAAAATCGGCCAAAAGTTCATGTATTAAAAGTACCTACAAGGCCAATAAATTAGAACTGGCGCTCTGCCATTTCAATCTCGCGGATCTTGCTCGAGACAAGAACGCGCTGAAAACTCTCCCAGCCATCATTTTGTCGGCCGACTCGATTAATTGCTACCCGCAATTGATTGATTTCCTCCCCCCACGAGCTTCCAAAAATTTACATCAGACGCTTCGTAACGATCGTTGTCCGTCAAAAGGTCTCACGTGCGCGGATTAAAACGTGTTTCTGACGAACGAACGAACAGACGCGACGTACGACGATTACAGCGAAACAACGAAACGAGAAAAACTACGTGCTCTCGTTTAATATCGAACGTGTACTTGCGCTTAAGGATGTATTGGCTATACAGTCAATCCCAAAGGTTTATGCACTTTAGAAACGCATTTTTTTAAAAGAAATCAGACGTCGGAAGAATATTGCTAATAATAAACAACAAAAAAAAAATTTCGATTTTTCCGAGATTTTTCCAAGGGGNTTTTAGCACGTAGCTATTTATTATTAGCATTATTCTTCCGACGTCTGATTTCTTTTTAATTATAGGAAATGCGTTTTTCTAAGGTACATAAACTTTTCGGATTGACTGTATAGCCAATACATCCTTAAAACTAATTGTAACATTGGGTAGACGTATTTGTCGAGATTCGTGAACCGTGTCGTACGTTTGTTACAGGAGGGTGAGGTGTCGAAGACGTAACACCGGAGGTCCGTGCAGAAGTACTCCGGCGGTAAGGCATTCGGGATCGGGGAAAGAACGCTTAAAGGCGAGGCTTTGTCCCGGTTTCGCTCGGCCCGTTTCGCGCACCGTGAATTGCACCTACGTACTAGGTAAGTGTGGCGTTGCACAACTGCCGCACGGTTGCGTTCCACTAAAATTCCAGTCCCAACCCTACGTGAACGTTCTCGCGAGCCTGCCAAGGACGTCGAGCTTACCCTGCACGTTTCTACCCCCGTTCAAACCCCCCCAATCCCACGACCCTGCTACCTTAGACTCATGAAAAATCCGCGAGAGTCGACGAGCTGCAGCTTGGCAAATTTATAAATTAATATACAGACGAGGGAGGATACTAAATGCATTCTTGAATGCGTTTACTCGAGGGCTCTGAAAAGCTTGTTATACGTATGACACGACCTTCCAGTCCTAATTAGTAAGTAGAGAGGACTCGATCTTTTGTAGAATTCCGATTTAACATGGGGACAATGTAGAATCTATTCGGAAAATTGTAAAGAGAGTTACTCGAGGGATGACCTGGTACAGGTTCTGGCCTGGGGTATACACAGCTGAATCGCCTGTAGCTGTTTCGAGGCAGGTTTTCCCGTGCGTCGAGAGCAAATTGATATCGGATCCGGTACCACGCAACTTTAAATCGAACGAAACTCGGTTAGACTCGACCTCGGCGTAACGCGATAAAAGATAACGCGACGCGTATCGAGCTAGGAAAAATATGTCTAGATAAGGGATCATGAAAGGAATGGAGTGAGAGAATCGCATTAAGGGTAATAATCACGCGAACGGTGCATTGCGAAGATCCGGCGATTTTTCTCGTAGACGACCTCGATCGATCGCTCGATGCATCGCGAGGAAACTGTCAACTGTGTCCTGACCATTCCGAGACTGTTAATTTGCTTCGTTGGGAACGTCGCGTCGATTAGTACACGAATCATCATACGGAACGTTTATAATCACTCTTACGGTCGGTGGTCCATTGACGCAACTGTTGCGGCGCGAAGACGCAAACGCTGCGTCACTTCGTCGGACGCATGTTCTTCGGAGATACATTGATAAACCGTGCGAATTAATTAGAATGTTACGAAGAGGCTTCGTATGATCGTTGATGAAGATCGATGTCGAATTTCAAGGAGAATTTCGCGCGATTTCAATTTAATCAGAGTACCTAAGGTCGCGTTAAAAAGAAAGAAACGGAATCCGGTTTTAGCCGAGCGTAGATCGATTTTAATTCACGTTTCCCTGTTGATACCTGTCGCTGGTGAAAATCGGGTCTCGCTGCTCTCGGTATGCGTGTCAGTGCACTCGTGACCCATCTCGGTGTTCGATGACGTCATCGGTTGCTGGCGTAAACCTATGACGAATATGGCGGGCTCGGGAAAACGGGAGTGGCAGGGACGGGGATCTTTTAACCAACCGAACCGGGCGGCGCGGCGGCACCGGCGCCTCGCCGCGATACGTCACCGGGACGTCGCGTCGAACCGACGAATTAACGTCCCGTCGACGATCGTTCGATCGCTCGCTACCTCCCAGAAATTAATTGCAAATTTTACGCTCGCTGCTCTCCAGCGACGCCTCCCTTCCAAACGCGTTTCAAAACTCGGTTCGACCCGATTCGAGCCTCGGCCAGAACGAGAGACGGCAGTTACCGTTCTTCAATCAGGGAAATGCATTTTTTTTTGTTTTTTTTTTTTTCTGAATACTCTCGAATTCGATCTTTCCGTCCCGACGAATTTTCATACGAGTCTCACTGACGATCGTTCTGCTTGGAACGAATCGCGATTCCGAACGTCGTGACGTGTTTACGACGGTGGATGCAAACTCGATTACGCGCCGGAGCGGCCCTGGGGCAAAAACGAAAGATGGATCCGCGAGATTCAGTTATTTACCGTATGCTAAACGTCGCATGCATCATCGGAGGGAAAGTCGATGATAATGTGCGAAACATACAACATTCGCGTGGCGCATGCAAAGTGCGTAGGAGAGAAACGCTGAGAGCAACGATACGATTCCGTGTTGGAGGATCAGGTTGCCGTCGTGGATTTTTCTGTTTTCGTGGATCGGACGCGGGAAACGGATCCCTTGCGAAAAGGGGGTGAAAATTGTCTGGCGGTCCGCAACAGGCAATCGTGTGTAACCGGAACACACGCCATGCCAGGCTGACGATTAACGACCGCGTCCGAGGAGAATTAACGGGGAACGAGCCGGAGAAAAGAGCATACAGAGCGTGCGAGGGAATCGAAATTACGGGATCGCGTGCCAGCGGGCATAAATCAGAATTGCTCGGTGGTGTGCTCTCGGCGCGCGGCCACGCTGGCCGTAGGAGTTCGATCCGCGAGAAACAATTAGGTGCGCGGGGGATGAATTAGTGGGGAACGGATAGATGGTTTCGCAGGCAGGAAAGTAGGGTAGACAAACAGATTGTTAGGTGGGCGAGCGAGCGAGCAAGCAAGTAAGTAAGTAAGCTGTTAAAGCTGGTAGGCAGGCAGGCAGGCAGGCAGGCAGGCAGGCAGGCAGGCAGGCAGGCGTTACCTCGCTTGGACGAGCTGTCGGCGTTGCTAATAAATCCAGGTACGGCAATCACGAGAACCAAGAGTCCACAGTGTAGCCAAAACATGTTTACGTCTTAACAACATTGTTTAATTCCATTTTACATGACGCTCGTAAAACACTACGATGGCGGTGGTGGTCATGTCGCGCATAATCAGCGATACTACCTGGTCGCCGGTCGGATCATGAGTACACGACTGACTGCGACTGGGTTGACGCGCGGTGTTCGGTAGGTGTAGGAGCGGTAGAAGCGAGCGAAAAGCGAGAACTGGTAGACAGAGGATGGAGTGGCGCGACCGAAAGACACAGGAGAGAGGTCCGAAAGAGTCGAACGAAACCGAGAAGCGGAGGGTAACGACAGAACGAGAACTGGGGGTGGAACGGAGAGACGGGACGAGAGAGAAAAAGTAATTGTAGACGCGGATGAGATCGTCGGAGACACGGAGAGCGAGAGAAAGAGGCGTGTGTGAGGGCGAGGAGCAGAGAAGAATGCTCGCGGCGATGGGAGGACGACAAACCGAACCGGACCGAACCGAACCGGCACCGAACGGTATATAGAACGACGAGGTCCTCCTAGAACATGGCGAATCCGCGCTGGTACACTAGACGACACGCGATAATGCACCACGCTAGCGCACTACTTCCGCGATCCGGCCGTACTCTCGTCGTCGTCGTCGTCGTCGAAGGATATACCCCCTACTCGCGCGCGCGCCCACAGAGAGTGAAGGTCCCGGTCTCGAATCACGCCTCGGCTGCCATCTTCTACCTACGCCGGGAGTCTGGAGTATGAAAATATTCTCCGCTGCCCTCCTCTCTCCAGGCACCGCGTTCCGCGTCCCGCGACCCCGGAGGAGCTCCTACACCCTGGTCCCTCCAACGGCTCCCACCCCTGGCGAGGCTCGACCCGCGCCGTACACCCGCGCAGAGCTTGGTACCACCTCTTATCGATTCCTGCGCCATTTCCCGTCATTCCTGTCAAATCAATAACGCGGTGGCGTGCCGGTGCTGCCGGTCCTACCGCCACCGGTCGAGGGTGGCGAAGGTGCCGGAGGCAGCCAAGCCGGAGGTGGTGCGCGCCCTGCTCCCGCTTCCACCTCGTCCTCGTCCACGGATCAGGCGCCGATACAGAGATGCGAAATCCCCAGCCGAGCGCACCCCGACGCCACGCCACGCCACCGAAAGATGGGACACTGCCCGCCTCACCTGCATCTCGTCGCCCGGACGTTGCCCCGCGATACCACCCACGCAGCCCCTCGCTTTCGACCCCGAGACTCGCCCCGACCGGCGACGTCTCTCTCCCTCGCGATTCCATCTTTCTTTCCGTGCACCGATCGCCTTCCACCGCCGACCCTGGACCCCGAAGGAGCCTCCTCGATGCACCCCCTCGAGTCTATCGATTTCCAAAACGCGATACAGCATCATCCAAGGTCCGACGCGTGTCTCCGTCTTAAACGGAGATCCAACGATCCCAAATTTACTTTCCTCGTCCGGATCGCGCACCAAAATTCTTCAAGTCTCGTTATCCGACCCCTCGTCGTCGTCGTCGTCGTCGTTTTCCAATTGAAACGATCCGTCGCGTCCATTCATTTCACACCCACGAAAGCGTTTCGACATACCAGACGGCGGCTGATGTACACGATTATTCGTGTGTTCCGAGAATTCTTCCGTGTTCGCGAGTTCGGCGCATAGCAGCGATTATAAATAGGCGGAAACGCGGTACGCGATGCCTATCGCGAGGCAGCGTCGTCGCTCAGAGAATAAGCAGTCGCGACAATCTAAATACGTAGAGGTACGCGTGAATGACTCTTTCGCGAGCAGTTGAATGTGATCCGCATACCCGGCGATCCATAGCCCCCGGCTGTGCGCTCGTCTCCTTCTCTCTTTGACATCGTCTCTCCACCGGCAAATACGAGCCACGGAACTACCCTCGTAGACAGATGTACGCGTCTCGACTATCGATATGCTCAACCCCTTCGAGCACCTTTATTCTAAACATCTTGTAAAATTCCAGGCATACGTGGAACAGATCGACAAACGAATCATACAATTCTCATTGACTTTGGTCGGGTCTCAGGAATTCAATGAGCAAAAAATCAATCGTTATTTTATACGAATTACTTTTTACTGAAGACTCGATCCGTCGGTACACGGAGAAAAATGAAACAAAGCTCATGGTGGCCAATGTGCATAAATCAAACGGTCGCATCGACTACACGGAGATACCATGTTCGGTTATCAATGTATAAGGTTCACCTGAACCTGCAAGGATCCAGGGAACTAATTTTTAAGCATCCGCACTGCGTCAGAAGACCGTTGACCGAGAAGATGCAACTAGGCTACTCGCGGTTTCGCTCGATCTCATAATTTCTAATAACGGGACAACGCGCGACGAATCCCGACGGTCAGTTGTTTAATTTACGCTCGATTAATCGGTAGATTCGCGTTTCCTTTTCGAAATACGTGTCCGTGGAAAATTAATTTCCTGTCGAGGGTGCGACGCCACCGGAAAATCAAAATAGCTAAACGACCCGTTAATGGCCGCGTAAAGCGAGCAACGTCCTGGCAATTTTTAATACCAAGAAATTGGGTCAGTTTTGAAATTTCCATTTTATAAACGCCTACTCGGGTTTAAATTTTCAATGGGGTTAATGGGGTCGAACTTCTGCCGTCGCGATAAGGGTTGAAAATGATTTTGTTCGGTCTGGACCCGGTTTCAGCCATCGTCATTCTGTCTTGGTTGCTACGTAGCAAAGCCTGACTTAGTACGAGACTTAGGACCTCGAGATACTCCGCGATCAATCGTATACGCTTCGGATCGGGGGGAGATACCTACTCAAATTCCACGAACTTCGAGGTTCGATTCGTCAGCAGTTCCTTGAAAAGAGAGAGAGAGAGAGAGAGGCTGGTCAGCGAAATTGCCGTGGAACTTTTCTAGGGAACACGTTTTTACCAGCCGGATCCCTCCTATACCTAATTAGTATGCGCGACTGTTCGTCCTTAGTCGACGGGCCGCAGGATGAGTTCCGAACCGTTTCGGGTTTTAATTTCCGATTCTACTTCGCCAGTGACGATTTGTCAGCAGCTGATTCGGTCCTCCTGATTCATCGTAAACGTTCCAATTGAACTCGCTGCATTATAAGTGGATTATATTTGTTCTACCAAACTGTCCAAATAGGAACAGCCGAGGACAGAGACAAAAACTCAAAGCACGTTTCCTCTGTCTTTTACGGAATGAAAAATACATTAGATCCTCGGTCTGTTCCGTGGTCTACGCGTTTGATACGACGCCGTGTACGTTAATGGCTCGCGGCGTAACTAAACGATAGGTTGGTCTGCGCGTAATTTCGGGTAGGTACCGTGACACGATCTTCCGTTCGCCCGGTATCATCTGGCAGGGAGTTAACTCTCAGCGAGAAAACTTTGCCCCGAATCCCCGGGAAGACACTCGGTCATCCTGGTTCCGCGCCATTTCCTTTATTTCTTCTCTGCCGCGCCGAAGATCCACGCGGCAACTTTCCACGATTAACTTTTTTCGGGCGTGCAAACAGAGACCGGAGGAAAACGTATCGACGTCCCGCAAAAATAAACTGCGTTATTAACTCTTTCCTCCATTTCCGCGAACCGTTCTTTCAAATAAAAAGAGAGAGAAAAAAAAAACTGGTGAACGTACAGACTGCGAGCTTTCCATGAATGAAACGTAAACAGTAACGCATAACAAATGAAGCTTATTTTTCCGATACTTCCCGATAGGAAGACCATCGAGACGCAAGACTACTTTTCTAGATCTGGTATTGACAATCTGTATAGTAAACGCGATATCAATCATCGGGTGAAACCTCGTATCGATCTCTGTCTCGATTAGCGCAGGGACAATTCTATCGAGCGTCGTGTTAAATGTTGCAGAACAATTATTCTACGAAACGTGCTGTTGAATTTTGTCAAGCACATTTATGGTGCAGAGCGCGGGTCAAACGGGATCGTCTTCTATCTCTGTACGTTTATCTCGTTTATTAACGTCGCACTCGAATCGTCGTGGACGCTGTATAACGAGTAATAAATATTTATGGGGTTCGAGGGTTTCCCCCGGTAACCCCGATTCGCGCAGCGGAAGCGGAAAGGGTAGTAGAAAGCGGCGTTCAGCCTTATCCAGCCACTTTCTCGCGGACGATAATGGGCTCGTTTCGCCCGGGTAAAATCTTAGGGCGCAATCAATTTACTTGAAACTAGTCTACGTGCGCGATTCACGGAGATAACCGCACCGCCTTTAAGCGGTTTCCCCGAGAGCCAAGGGGACACCTTCGAGGGTAACTTTTCTGAAAATGACTGACGGCGGATTATCAGATCGTCGCCCGGTTTCCCTCGTAAATTATTAACACCCTCCCTCGTCTCGCTCGGCTAGCTGTTCGATGGCGCGAACATTCGCCAAATATTTGCCCCGTTTGTCTCGTCTATACTACGAGCGGCTTATTTATTTACCGGGGTGACGATTTTTCCCAAACGTGATCACCGCGTTAATCGTAGTAACGAACCCGGATGGCCGTTCGCTAGAAATTGAGACGGAGTTTACCGAAACCGAAATCCCATAGTTTACCCACGGCAAATTCGTGTTTGCCGACGCACGCCCGCTCGAGTTCAGTTAAAGGGTGGAACGAGTTTAGTGTCGGCATCGCCACGTACGATTAAAATCCAATTAAACGTTTATCGAATCGTGACTTCTCAGTCGAGACGATCGTCGAGACGAGTTGAGAGCAGAGATCGACGATGCGCGTTGTTCGTTTCTTTCACTTCTGAATCGATAGATCGTCAGGAGCGAAAACGAAACACGTTCGACGCGAGTCGGGACTCCGTCGCGGCGTCTGACCAGTCGCGGATCTATACTACTGGGCGCGAGATTCGATTCGCTCCGCAAAGAGTGCAGCTCGCTGCTTTAAAAGACTGGATGGAAAAGTTTTTCTGATCGAGATTCGTCTCACAAAGGAACTCGAAGAGAGAGAGACCACGGGGGAGGGCGTGGGGGGCGTAGGGTGTACGCCGGAGAGTCAAAGGGAAAGAAGAAAGTTGGAGCGAGCGAGATGTAGGTCGGACGAAAGGGTTTTTGCTGGGAGGGTGGTGCCAATCAAACCGAACCTTCCGAGGGTGGCGTCGAAACTCCCTCGTAATTGACGTAGCGGTAATAACTGGCGGTACAGTCGGGGACACCGTGTAAATGCTATTTTACGCCCGAGTTAGAATCTCTGATTAGCGACGCGAGCTACTTGGCTCGGTTCGGGTCACGGTTCGCGTCAGCTGCTGTAAGAAACTCCCTAACTTCTAACGTTGTTAATTACCGATGCGAAGCGTTCACTGGAAAACCGGTTTGCCCTCGTTTGACAATCGCTCGAGAAGGACCTCTAAAGTGGTTATAAAAAGATCTGACACAGTCGGTGCGAGTTACTGACTCTTCAATTAAAGTCATGAGAGTCACACAATAATAATTGTACTCGTTCACGATCGAACGGATTGCAGTGTGCATTCGTAGTCTTAAAATTCTGCGACTCCGTTTCGCGACGCGTCGCGAGACTCGGTCGTTCTCTGGTACTGGAAGGATTTCGTTCGGGTCAGGATGTATCGAATAATCGATGTTGCCGTGTGCATCGGTGACGTCAGAAGCGCGGAATTCCGCTCGCATTGCACTCGAGTGCTCGGGAGCCGGGAGCAAATCATTCCGTAATTAAAATACATTTCCTTGATTCGAGCGTAGCACACGGCGTTCCCGGAATACCGCGTGCTCGCGTCAGAGGACAGCTATTTTATTCGGGAAAAAAATCTCGCTGCTTCGAGAATTTCCGAGCAACGGTCTCTCCGTGCCCTCGTATCCAGCCGTAATAAATTAATAGGCCCGCGTGCGTATATCGAACGCGGCTCTCGCGAGCTCCGAGGCTCGAATCGGCTGGAAAAAAGCCGGAGACGAACAAAACGACGTGGCCACTCGAAGAAAAGAGGAACCACGCTGCCCGTCGAGCACACCGCGCGCTGCCCTCGATCAATACCCTCGCGCTAGCCTGTTGCGAGATCATCTTTCCCGTATTTACCGCCCGAGGAGAGTTAAAAATATTTTCGACTTCTCATCGATGACTTTAGATATCAATGGCCCTAACGGCGATCACCGCTTTTGTATCCGTATGCACGTGATCTTTGATCCGTATTGATCTTCGTACATTTTCACCTCGTGGACAGAGCGGTGATTGCCTCTCGTCCTGGCTTCTGACAGAATTTTAGTTTTACCGAAAGAATCGTGCGTCGGTTTTCCAAAATCCAAGTTGCTCCTCGTAAAAGAGAATCGTGGGCCGCGAGCACGCGGTGTAAAGCGACGTAACAGGTTGCTCGTTGGCGAAAAGCTGTTGGCGATAAACGAATTAAAAAGAGAAGCGTTCTGGCCGTGAGAGTTGTACCTATTACGGTCGATTGATGGTTCTTCGATGCAGCAGAGTTCCGTCTAACGATACGAGAGATCCTTGAAGCGATCTCTGACCGGGAGAAACGTGAATCGCCACAGTGATCAGTATTTTACGTTCTCTTGTCTCTGAGGGCCTGGGATTATTCGCGTGGTCCTCTCGCAATTTAGGCATCGACCGAGATCTAAACAGGGAAGGATAGGGTGATCTCGGGTTCGTGGGACGTTATCGTATTTCACGAATCGATGAGAAACTCCGGGCGTAATCCCCGGGAGAACGCGGCACCTCTCTCGACGTTGCAAAATGAAGAGAAAAGAACGGAAGGTCGACCCTAAGAATCGTGAAAATGAAAATAGTTCAGCTTGAGATTGTTTGCGAACGCTGCACATCTCATGTATCATATGATTCTTTATTATTTACATTCTTTCTTGTTGGCACTCGTCAGACACTCCCTCGCACGCACACAGTTTCTTTACGCTATTAATATAGGTAGTACGTAATGCGTGTGTAACGTGTCTCGTGTGTGTATATTCGTTTTCATATATATATATATATATATATTTATGTATATATTTATATTTATATATACGATGTATTTATAATCATTTATATTCGTCCGTATGTATATATTTATATATATAATAATACTCCGTAACGTGATAAAACGTCGTTAAAAAAGTCAGTCACTTAAAAAACCTTAACTCTCGTGCTACATATTTTTTTTTTCTTGTTATGTTTCATTTCGACAGTGTACGTAATAGGATTGCACATCGTAATTATTTTACGTCTCTTTCGTGTAATTCTCGTGGCACGAGACGAGTCGTCTCGCGCGAGGGAAGACTCGTGTTCCGAATTAACGTTTTGTTTTCACTTCTTCTCTTCTTCCTTTTTTTTTTTTTTATTCCTCTCTCATCTTTTATTTTACCCACTCGGCCGCGCGTATATGCGTATATGTATGTATATGTATATATATAATCCTCCTCCGCCCTTACCTTCAATTGCGATCGCGGTGCGACAATCGATAGGACCCACACGCGCATATCTATCCTCTCATTCGCACGCATCGCCCTTTCGCACACTCTTCGCGCAGAGGTAATCGCATCGGCTAGATGGTCGCTCTCTCTCTTTCTCTCTCTCTCTCTCTTTCCTCGAACGGGGAGGGAAGCTGAGAACGCGCAAAGGATCAAAGGATGAAGGCTACAAATCATTCTCCCTCGTACGCACGTACCAAAAACAACAGTTACAACTTATAACAATCCTTTTATTTTTTTTTTTATTCGTTACTCCCCTTCGCCTCGAATTTGCATGTCTTCAAGTGGCACTACGAAAGAAGAGACTCGCAAACGCGCGTCCCTCGGAAGAACTCGTCGTCCTCGAGCACGTTAAATTCGTAAAAGCATACGCGCGCGCGCGCGCACACATAGACACACGCACGCACTCTCTCTCTCTCTCCCTCTCCCCCCGCCGCTAAATCGGCTGGAAGAAAAAAAAGAACATCCATTTCCGCGCGACAAAAGACGTCTTATCCCTTTTCGCACATTCTCTCACTCTCTCTCTCTCTCTCTCTCTCATTCGCTCAGGCGCTCCCTTGTTTCTCATCCCCCACGGTTTCTCGTCTCGTTCTTCCTCGCTCTCCGAGCTCCCCTTAACTCATTTGCATCGTACGCCGTGATAAAGATCAACATTTCGTGTAACGAGCATCGCAACGCCCGATGCGACGGTTCCGTCCGATGATCGATGCAACGTTCGATACGGTAAGGCTTAACGACTCTCGTTGAAACAAATTTCGTTCTCTCTGTAGTAAACGAGGCGTAACGGTAGTACGCCGTGCGATTCAAACGAGCTTCGGAATCGAAGAGATCGAGGATAGAACGTAGCGTCCCGAAGAAACCGTTCCGCCTACACCGGATAAACCAAACGGAGAACTGAACGCGACTTCCCTATTTCTTAATGTCGAGCACCGAGTCCTCTCTACGGAGTAATCCTTTATGCATATATTTATAT